TGTTATTATTATCATTATTATTGTTATTATGATTATTATCATTACTATTATCGTTGCTATTATCATTATTACCATTGCGTTGTTATTGCAATCATTACTATCATTATCGCTATTGTTATACTGTAATTATCATCATCATCATTATCATCACCACCACCACAATGGTCATCACCATCATCATCACACCAATGATAAAAGTAAAGATAATCATAAAGATAATGATACCAAACTAATAAGGAGAAACCAAAACGGACATCGTAATAATGATGATAACAATAACATTTAGAAATGGAAACTACTGTATTGGTAATCATTTCTTTATTATTATAGAAATGCTTACGATAATCGTAATGATGATGAGGGCAGAAACGACAATGATAATAGCAATAATGGTAATTAATGATAACAAAAATATTTGTATTTAGATATAGCAATAATACTGACAGCGACCATAGGGAGAACGACAACAGCAGCAGCAAACACAATTGAACGCATAATCTTTTTAATGACAGATGTGGTCGTGCAAATAACACCGGTAGTAATGATAACCTTTAAAACTGTTAATATAAATTATAAGGATAATATTAGTAATGATGAGGAGGAAGACCACGACGTCGACGACGCCGCCGACGACGGCGAAGATGATGATGATAATGACAATGATAAAAAAGCGATATTGGTAATGACAATAATAATACATGCCTACTTATTCTTGTTATCGTTATTTCTAATGAAGTTATGTGTATATCATTATTTTTATCTACAAATTATGATCAAATCTGCGTATATCTTTAAGCAACCGAAAGGAAAGGCCACTCACTCGCTTATACAGTGCGCTGCCGTTAAGACGTCGTTTGCAGTCACGACGATTCCTCCGCAGATGTGGTTGCGTCCCAGGAGGCCGACGTGTTCAATTGACACCTATGACAACATGCCACAAAACACTTGATTCCTGGTCATTTTATGCGTTGATTATTATGTATCAACGCATTTCATTGGAAAATTATAAAGGCGGATGTGTCCGATTTGTTTACATTTCATTCAAAATTGCCAATTAGTGGGGACAGTACAGTGTAATATTTGAAATAGAAAAGGCGGGCAAAGCGCACATACCTGAAACGGAAACTCTCCGAGAAAGGCATCTTCGCCGCCGACGATGCGGGGAGACCGAAGGCGCTGCAGGTGCGTGGGCGTGACTGCGCTCTCCACGCTTACTGGAAAAGGAAAACAGTCAAGGAATGTGCTTATGTAGTATATACCTGTGTATGTGTGTGCATTATAGATATGCACACATATCTCTAATGTGTATCAGTCCTGGTGTCTGAGCATAAACACATAAGTATATACATATATAAAGCACATGCGATCATATGTGTGTCTCTAAGTGTATGTATACGTATTTTTACACTCAAGTGAGTGTCTGGTGCGTGTGTACATATGCAATTAATACGAGTAAAAGCTTCATTAAAAGGCAGTCCTAGAGTAATCTGATTATCCGACTCAATCGTACCATGTCGTTCGCCACCGCTCCCCCTTCGCTTGTTATTGCCTTTAATGTTGTGTGTATCTGTGTGTGTGCGTGTCTTTTCGTGTCGCGTGTAACACACGGATCCTTCCCACGACCCTAGTTTAATCCATTTCAACGAAGAAATCGATAATGGTCAAATTAAGGTTGTTGTGGTTCTTCTTCTCTTTTTCCTTCTTTTTCTTCTTCATAATCTTTATCTTCATCATCATCACCTTATTATTATTGTTATCATTATCAGAATTATCATTATTATTATCATTATCATTATTAGTAGCATAATCATTCTTTTTCTTATTATTATTATTATCATCATCATTATCATTATTATTATTATTATATACTATCATTATTAGTATCCCCATTTTCATTACTGTTATGATTATCATCATTATATTATGCTATCATTATTTTTATCACCAATATCATTTATGATTATTACTGTTTATTTTTTTATTATTATCATTATCATCATTATCATCTTCATTCTTACTATTATAAGAAAAAATGAAGATGAGAGGGTTTGATTTTAAGCGAGAAGAGGCCGCCTAATATATATGATTTGAAGAATGACAAATCCATGATTTAAGTATTTAAGTATAATTATCATTATCATATTGATAACGATAATGATAATAATAATGATAATGACGTTGGTAATGGTAAAGATGAGTATTGATGAAAACAATAGTACTGATAAAGTCTATCTACAACAATAATAATAAAAATAATAACAGCAATACAAAGAGCTCTGTCAATATTTACTTAAACAGATGATGAAATTAAAAATGCTCATAATAAAATCATGGTAATGAGGATAAAAACATAAGTAAAGAATAGTTCTGAATAGTTAAGAATAGCTATCCTTGTTCTTCCTATAAACACTTTTTCATCACTATTCTTATCATTATCATCACTATCGACAACATCATTATTATAAATGTTATTGTTGTTAATATCAGTATTAATGGTACT